AGAGATAATTGGGTTTTTTAGGGTTCTTGGTCGATTTGGGGATAAAAAAGAACAGGGGCAAAATTGAGTTTCGTTACTGTAGCTAACAAGTGTTAATTAAAATTTAACGACATTTACAAACTTCTGTTAGTCGAGTTAACTCCGTTAATGGTGATTTAGTGAAACCAAAACATTTTTAAAGTTTGTGTATTGAAAAACTAACTTAAATAGTCTGGGTATTAATCGGGTAACAAAAAAGTTTGGGTATTTTCTCAGTCAATATAATTAAGTTGGAGAATTTTTAAGGAATTAAGTTGGAGAATTTTTAAGAAATTTAATAATATGAAAATTTTTAGTAAAATCTACACAAGAACAATCTTGTGGAAATAATCCAATTAAATAAGAATTACCATATTTTGATTAATTGATTGATGTTAACAACATCCGAAATTTTAGTACCATTATTTATAATTGGAAAACTAGAGAAATCGTTAAGAGTATCTCCACAAAATCGTTAAGATAGTAAAGTCTCAGAAATATTTCTGTGGAAATGTATTAAAATACATCGTTTATTTGTGGAGATAATCTTAACGATTTCAATTATTTATCTCCACAGACATGATTTGTGAAAAGATGTTTATGTGTCATCTCTCACGAAAACAATTATGACATGGCTAACAAAATTGTGACATGACAATTTTGAATCAATAACAAAATCTTGTACAACTAAATTTATATTTGTTACCATAAATCAATTAAAAGAGTTTTTAATCAATATATTATCCGATTTTCATTTTTATTCTAAATTTATATACAAATTTAGTTTCTCATTTAAAAATAGTTTAGAAATTAATTATTGTAAAAATAAAATTAGAGAACATTTTTATAGAATATATATTCTTTTGAAAATAATAATAAAGACTTACAAAATTTTTAAAAGAGACTTTGATATGTTTGTGAAAAAAACTTCCCAAGTTTATAAAAAAAATGTAGTTATTCTTTTGAAATTTTTTTTACGCAAGACAATTTGAAAGTAATAAAAATATTTTTTTATTCAAAAGCCACAATTTTTTTTATCTGCATTTTATTTATAAAATTGATGATTATATATTTTAATGTTTTAAAATATTAAATAATTTATTTGTATTCTAAATACTATTTAAGATATTCGGACAAACTAAATTTAACATATTTTGTTTAACTCTAATGTATTAGATTTTGATTTAACATATTTACATATATAAAATAAGTAAATGGTAAAAGTAAATTTCTGAAATTCATATTATTATTAAAACGATATTATTGACCAAAAAAGTTAACAGCAAAAGAATCAATAACAATGTCTATAATAAAATAAAACAACTACATATTTCATATTTTTAAAGATTAAAATTAAAACAAAACTACATAAATAATTTATCCATGTGTATGCGGAAGAATTACCTAGTGAGAGATTACATATCAATGAACATATTAGTGAAAGCTCTACAATCCATACAACCAAAACTAAGTATACGAGACGGTGAAATTACACGTTTGTGTTTTTATGAAGTGGTTTTGTTTCCTTTTTTGTTTCTTATGACTACTACGCTATTCCTCGAGAAATGTTAAACAATTAACATTTGTTTTCTTTTGTATGAAGTGGTCGCATTTGCTTTCAAAATTGAAGCAAAGAAGAATCCAATCTTTGAC